CAACAACAATAATAATAGTAATAATAGCAGCTCTATTTGGTAAGTTTTGAAGAGAAAGAGGGAGAGAGAGAGAGAGAGAGAGAGAGAGAGAGAGAGAGAGAGAGAGAGAGAGAGAGAGAGAGAGAGAGAGAGAGAGAGAGAGAGAGAGGGAGGGAGGGAGGGAGAGAGAGAGAAAATTTAGCTTAAGATATTCCTATAGTTCCAACCCACCTGTATTGATAATATCGCTGGACGGATTCAGAGCTGATTATTTGTACAGGGGTATCACCCCTACCATTAAATCCTTTGGTAATAATAAACAATAATATTTAACCCTTTACGATCTTCCTATAGCGTCCGATGGTGTTCAATCAGAATACATGACACCTGCTTTTCCATCTCTCACCTTCCCTAATCACTTCACCATAGTAACGGTAACCATGACATCATAACCACGCCCTTTATTAAGCTCCTTCCATTACAGGGTCTCCACCCAGAGTCTCACGGTATTATCAGTAATGCTTTTTTCAGTCGTGAGTTTAACGAGTCCTTCTACATTGGATCTAAAACCTCTAACGATCCAAAGTGGTGGTTGGGTGAACCGGTGAGTGGGTATGGCAGGTAGGTGTGGTTTATTACTCATGTAGATATGGGTGACGGCAGTCAAGGGTACTTTAAAAACAGCTGTTTATTTTTGGCCAGGATCGGAAGTACCTATAGAAGGTAAATTAATTATTAATATACAATCAATTAATTAATTTTATAGGTATTTTTCCTACTACCTATTTCAACTATGACAGGTGAGATATTAATAGTTAATTAACCACTTAATAACTGATATTAATAACTAGTTCTGTGCCTTTTACCGAAAGAATGGAAACCGTCCTATCTTGGATTGAACAGCCAGATGCAACAAGGTCAGTATATCCTTGCATACTCTAGTATACTCTGGTATTTCCCCTCCAAAGCTATTTTGTTTACATAGATGCGTTAGTCATAAATTCCATTAAAATTTGAATTTTTGTGAATCATATATTGCCACCTGCTGCCATCCCTTGAACCAGGGATTGTACCAATGCCCATTATATAGATATAGTATTGTATTATAGCCTGAGTGTGGCACATGTAGGAAAAATTATATCATTTTTTAATTTCCTACCCCTCTCTCCTTATTAGTGTGTTTTTACTCATAAACGTACATGTGTCTGTATCCTTTTTGTTTCCTTCTTTTTCATTCTCACGGTACATGTTTATGCATCATTGCATCATGTACATCTGTACAACTTCATTTACTCGTTAACATTATCATATATTATAGTCCATTGTGTTTGGGTAAGTACACATGTACATGTATGAGTTACGTAATACCTTAGTCCCTTGGTATCTGCCCTCAGTTTTGCCTCAAGCAGATATCTCAGTCCTCAGGTATTACAGTATCACTTATACATATAGAAAGAAATTTTTGGAGATTGAAAGAAGATGGGAAACATAGCTACAGGCAAAATATCCATGAGAACGCTTATACACATCTTGAAACACGAAAGCTATTATTATTATTATTATTATTATTATTATTATATTATTATTATTATTATTATTATCATTATTATTATTATTATTATTGTACATAAAATTTTTTTCATTCATTCTTCATTATAGGCCCCAGTTCATGGCTGCTTACATCAGTGAGCCAGACCACACTGCTCACCAATATGGCCCCAACTCTACAGAAGTAAGATATTATACTGATTAGTTTTAATTAGCTGCGTGGGCGTGATCAATTGCACCCTTGTAAACCTATTTGGTAATAATTATTACTTCCATTTGCATGTATTTATTGCTCAATTTCAAAGGGTATTTATATATGTAATTCACATGTAACTTTTAATGGCTCAATTAGCAGTCATTATATTTATAATTATCAGTTAATCAGTAGTAGTTATAAAGTTATTTTTAAAATATTTGACTGTAAATTGCTGTCTATTGACTCTATTCATCCAAGCAGATGTCATTGTGTATAAAATTTAATAATAGTAATTGTTATTACGTCATAATCATGATTCACAAGCACTGAAAGATTAAGCTGTTAACATTCATTTGCATGCACATGTATGGCATTGTTATTATTATGACATTATTATTACCATTATTATTATTATTATTATCATTATTATTATTATTAATATCATTATCATTATTATTAATATCATTATCATATTATTATTAGTATTATTATTACCATTATTATTATTATTATTATTATTATTATTATTAAAACAAGAGACAATTGTTATTATTATTATTATTAATGTCATTTCTTGAGAGAAAGAGAGATAATGAGATTAATAATAATAATAATTGTTCCTCCTAACTTACTTCTCCCCCTTATTGTATTTTTCATTTTTTTAACTTCCTTGTACGCATATAAATACTAATAGCAATAATAATGAATAGTTGTTTTTGCTGTGGAATTTTTAAAAAGCATCAGTGTCACTACATGCATGTAATATAATTACTTATGCTAACAGTTGTTATTAATATTATTCTGTAGCGAGGCGGCATGGGTAAGAGAATGAATTAAAATATTTCCTGTGCCAGTAGACATTTCCTTGTTACAATTTAGTCAGAAAACATGTTCATTAGTCCTGTTTAATGCACTTACCATCACCAACCTTTAGTATAGTAGCTTAAGGACCTGTTCTAAAACCTGAAGAAGAAGTGAACAACATGATAATATCATGTTTCTTTTGCATATAATTCCCTGATTTAATGTGAAACTATAGCCTATTTTAATTGATTGTAATCAGGAACTGTGCACTCTAGAGTAGTAGATTAATTGGTTCATTGTGTCCTGTGTGATTTCAATACTGTTATAGTTGATAGTGAAACTGGTTAGCTAGAGTAATGATATAACGGTGTTGGGTATAGGAAATCAAGATCTAAATGCTGATTGCTTAAAATAAACAACACAATAATAGTTTTGGCAATTAATGTCACTCTCCCTTACTCATTGTCTTGCTCAAGAACCCTCTTTCTCTCTCTTTGTTTCCCTCTTCTCTCCCTCTCTCTCTCTCTCCCTTCTTTCTCTTTCCCCTTCCCTGCTATGCAATACAACAGTCATGAGTACAGATTAAGGTTTGTTTAGGAAGAGAGAGGGTTCGACAGTGCAGTTGCATTATGAATTCTTTCATATGGAATGTTATTAGAAAACCTGAAGCAACTATGCGTGTCCAGATGATCGTCTTAAAATGCAGTGTATTGCTGCATATATTAATCATTTGCTAGACACTTCAATGTTCTATTGTTTTTGTTGATTTTATATGAAGGAATTCATCATAACAGACGACGTAGTTCTATAATTAAATCGGGAGTATTGTTTGCTTAAGATTGTTTATTTATCTTATCTTGACCGCCTCTCTATCAGATTCAGTGTAGAATCTTTTGGTCCTTCACCATTACTCATCATTGTTCCTGGACTTATTGTTATCAGCACATAATGTGTTCAGAATTAATAACAACTGATGCATTGTTTCCATTAAGCATAAGCAAGGACTACAACTTTCTTTATTGTTTTTAGAAGCCTTGAGCAACTTACTGCTACAAGCATTGAATTTAAGGATAGTGTATACTAAGGATAGTGTTTAAGGATAGTCTCAGTACTAGAGCTACCAATTGATGATTTATTCTCCATTGCATAAGCGTGCAAGGACTAGAATAAGAATGACTTTAAAATAAACTGCTCAAGACAGAAAGAATAGTATAAGCTACTCAAAAAAGAAGAATAGCATACTAATATTTCTATCTTGAGCAACTTATTTTGTAATAGAGTAGGCTCTAGCATTGCTCCAGTGCATGCACTGGAATCAGTTAACTCAATGCTACAATGTTAGATTTTACTGTAATCTCATTAACTATAGTCTGCTCTTACCAGTCTCTTTAATTATTGCTTCTTGATCTATTGCTAATAGGTTGATGATGCTCTTAAACAAGTTGATAGCTCTGTCTCTGTTTTAATTAATGGGCTCAAAGATAAGAATCTGTACAATTGCGTGAACATTATTATAGTGTCAGATCACGGTTAGTCAATTAGGTTAATGAAAAATGTGAATCATTTTAAAAATTGTCTTAAAATTAGAATAATGATAATTATCATAATTATAATAGCTAAGTTATTAAAAATAATTAAATTGTAGTTAATTAGCATTAAGTTTTGATAAGAAGTGATCAAGTTGGTCAATGCAATTACTATTGAGCCTAATACTACGAGAAGAGTCCATTTAATTGAAGAATATTTTAAGACAAATTCGGGATGAAGTGTGCAACACTTTCGCTTGCTTCCTCCCTCAGCTCCTGAATGTAGCTCTCAACCTGAGATTGGGTGCTGGTGTAGCTTCCATGATTCTGGACACTTGTTTTGGCGTCAGTGAGTCCATCTTTTATTTCCTTGAGACCAAGTACAGGACTGCAGAGTTCCTTGACTGTCCCTGCACTCTCTTCAGTGCTAGTGCAGTTGGTTCCATTAGTTGTGGAGGTGGAGAACTGGAAGAAAAAAAGAAGAAAAAGAATTTTAATTTTTGTATCATTTTGATTTGATGTTATAATGAAAAAAAGCTTCATATATTATTACTTAATTTTTGTTTTGTGTGCATGATTCTTTTGCTTACCCAATTGCAAATGTCTTTGAGATTTTGTGCTGCTGTCTGGATCGTGACTTCAGGTAGGTCTATACTGCTGCTTTCTCCAGTGATCTCAGCTGCTTCAAGCCCAAGCTTGCAGAATGTCACATAGTCACTCTCACTTATGATTTTCTCAAGGACACTCAGACTTAGCGAAATATTTCCTAAGAGATCTGAAGGGTCTGTGGTGCCAGTGTTGCTGGTTGGAGCTCCAGAGGAAAGAGAGAAGAATAGAAGAGAGAGAGTGATGGCTGCTTCAACTCCACAGTGCTTCATTGTGATGATGGTAGTTCTTGAAATGATTTTAAAGATTTAAACTTTTAAAAAATTTTTTACTAAGTTCTTTGAACCTTTACTTTCAACTGATGGCCCTTCTCTCTTTTTCTGTCCCTTTTATACGTTTTCGTTTAGAAGCAAAGTGCTAATGAGAATGGAAGTGATGTAATTTAATTATTTTAAGTGTCAGTTTCAATATGATTCCAGTTCCAATTCATGCAGTATAAAAGCAGGACAAGCAATCATTCCAGGACATCAAACCAGTCAAAAGGAATTCAATCAAACATATTTCTAAAGCTTTCTTTATCATCTTTAAACAATCCTGTCAACAAGAATGGAGTCTTCCAAAGTCTTTACGATCACTTTCTTCTTTTATGCAGCAATTTCTGCTGCTGCATCTCTTAACACTTTCTGTCAAAAGGCCAATATTGAGTCCTGCTCTCCTTCATACAATGAGAGCAGCTGCTGTCTTTGTCGTGGTGACACTCACTTCATGCTTGATACTGGCCTTAAAACTGGCCACCGTATTTTGGTAAGTAACTCCTCTCTTTTCTCTACTACTATTATAGCTATTGCTGCATGTGCTGTACTATTTATTTATTTTTATTTATCATAGGACAATGAGGTGACTGGCTCACTCTGCAATACTGGAAGTTTTTTACAAAAAAGAAAATGCAAGCTCGAGCTTATTCCAGTCATGAGCAAGATTGCTAGTTTCTCTGTATCACTTAAGCGACTCTTCCAAAAGAAAGGAGAGGCAGAGAATGAGCTCTTCCTGACTGCTGCTGCGAAGATTGTTGCACGCTCCGTTGAAGAAAAAATATGCAACTGGGTAAGTATATATGCTTCATTCAGCCTCTCTTTCTCACTATTTTATCATCAAAAAAACTTGCAATTTATTATCATTTATTTTATTGCAGATCTCTACTCTCTTCCCTGACAAATCTTGCTCTCAGTTGCTGGCCCAGCTTCACCTTCTCTCACTGATGGAGGATTCCAGGGAAGCATCATACACAGAGAATCCTTCTTGCTCTCACAACAAAGCATGGAGAGCTGTGTGGGCCGAGTCTGCTTACTGTCGTGAAGTAGTACAGCAGTTAAAGCGGCAGTCTGAGTTGGACTCCGAATCCTTCAAACCTTGCAGCTCTTAAAATCTTCTTGCAATGAGGAGTTACTCTTACAATCTATTTATCTAGCTCAACTGGATCACTTCTCCTTCTTTCCTTACACTCTTGACTCTTTTAATCATAGTAGTCCATTGTTTTGTTTCTTATTATCATTTTAATTAATCACAATTATGATATGAACCACTGTTTCATAATAATGATAATAATAATAATAATAATAATAGTAATGGTGTATAATTATTAGTCTGGTATGAGTACAGTAGTACAATCCCTTACCACTATATACACTAAGCTATCAATTGCTTGCAATGTTAGCTCTTTGCTTATGCTTGTATACACTCCTGCCCTATATGAATGTTTACATAAACATGTTGTTTATCCTGCAACTGAACTTCTGTTATCAAGTAGTATCATGTTATACAGTGTCTGTATGCATTGAATGAACTTACTGTCTTATTTCCTTCCTAAAAATTGCTAGGAATGGCTACAATCGATGATAGCAAAGTTGTAGTACTAGTACCTCAGGTATGTTTACTATCATAATGCAGCCATACTCTCTTTACTACTGGGGAGTTAATGATATTCATTGCACACACTCTCTGCTCATTCTTCAGATTCTACCTGAGGAATATACTGATGATGTACAGCACAGCATTTATGGAGAGCTCGCAATGCTCTATGTTACAGACTCAGGTACGGAAGTTTGAGAATGGAATTATGAGTGAAAGTTGATGCTGTTTGAATCATGTATTGTGATATTTGATTTCTTTGCAGATCCTGATCTGGTCAATGAGATATATCATGTTATGAAAGAGGTAGTAAATTTTTTTGATGAATTTGTAGAGTGACTGTTGTTGGTTTTAGAATGCTACAAGACTGAAGTCTCCGATTGACATTTATTTACGAAATGAAATACCAAAGGATTTCTTTGCTGGACAATTTAATAAAAAGTTAGAGAACAAATTTATTAAAGCAACTAATTCTTTGTAATTAATTATTCATATTTATAGTCGCTATGGTGATATTATCATTATTGCTCACGTCTCTGGTTATATTAAGATTAGGTGAGACATTAATTATTAATATTTTTATTACTTATCGTAAAATTCTCCTTTTTCTAGAGATGATTTTCCATCTTCGTTTAATCTTAAAGGAGCACATGGCTATGATAATAAAAATCCACTTATGAGAGTATGTAGTACATCATTATATTTATTATTATCATAATTATCTTAATTTTGTTATAATTATTTTATTTTAATTTTGTTATAACTTATACTTCCTTTAGGCTCTTTTCCTGGCGCATGGTCCAAGTTTTAAGCCAAACTACAAGTCAGGCCCAGTCAATAATATTGATATTTATGAACTGATGTGCCGTAAGCAAATATACTTTATTAATTTTTTTTATAAATTTCATTGCATATTTTTATTTTTTATTTTATTTTTCTTTTTTAGATTTGTTGCATTTGCCACCTTCGCCTAACAATGGAACGCTTGCAAACATCAGTAACATTTTAAAATGAAGGGAAGGCAGACTATAAACATTGTTTTTAACTCTTGTCCAAATTTGTATTGTCTATAAAAATTTGGTTATAGGTGTGGCTAATTCAATTATGGGCGTGGTTAACTTGTGGGTGGGGCTGACATCCTCTCTGCTGCTGAGAAGCAGACCTCTTGTAGCTTCTTTTAGGAGAAATTTTTCGTCAATGGCCACTCCAGAAGGTGGAGTAAGCCAAAGTAGTCTTGATGATTTATCTAAAGAAGACAAGGACCAGTTTTCTGACGAGGAACATGTGCCTTCAAACTCCACCCCCTTGGCTTCCCATTTTATGATAAGAGAGAAAGTTCTTAAAGATTTACAGCAGAGAAGTTTCGCGGGAACACCTTTTGGGGAGCACTCGAAAAATGCACAACGGAAGTTGATAAGAATTCACACCAGTAAATATTTGAAAAGGCAAAGGATGCACCAGAAGAAGGAAACAAGTGACAAGGCCATCACGAAAGACCGACCATCCTCGGAAACTGAGTTATCTTCTAAAGAGACGGATTTTCTTTTGAGACGTGAAATGAAAAGAGAAAGAGCTAAGAGATTAGAAGAGGCAAGACTGAGCGGGCAAAAACTAGCGATTGACTGCAGTATGGAGGGACTAATGTCACCAAAGCAGCTGGGATCAGCTGCAAGGCAATTCAAACGCCTTTACGCCATTAATGCTCGCCATAGCACCACTAAACCATTTCACATACACTTAACAGGCCTACTGGAAGAAGGGAAACTACGTCAAGCACTCCGCGAACAATTTGACGGATTTGATCGTGTGATTCCAGACATTACCAGTAAAAGACACGAAGAGTATTTCCCAAAGGATTCCATTGTTTATTTAAGTCCGGATTCACCAAATACACTCAATCATTTGGACCCCACTAAAGTATATGTAATCGGTGGATTAGTAGATTCTAATGTTGTGAGTTCGGTGACATATACAGCTGCTAGTGATTGCGGTATTAGCACTGCTAGACTACCGATTGATGATACTATTATTAAGAAGAATCCATCTGGTTTTGTGTTAACTATTGATCAAGTTTTTGGATTATTGCTTGAAGTTGGACAAGGGAAGAGTTGGGCCGAGGCTTTCAACTCATTAATACCAAAAAGAAAAAGATGTTAGGAAAATTTTGAGACACAATCATACAATCTTATATTCCTTATTGTTTGTTGCAAAAAATATAATAAAAAATTAGAGGAAAAAAATTGATGCAGTTATAAATTATTACTATTAAGTAACTGTTAATATTAATAACTGTACTGAGTCTGCGCATAAACGGAGGCGGGTAAGGAACGTGGAGAAAAGACAAGATGGCGATTTGCACCATCCAAGTAACAAACATATGTCCCAAAGCAACCGTCAGGCAAATGAAAGAGCTCTTCAGTTATTTGGGAGACATTGATGAGCTTAGACTCTTTCCAGAAGAGTAAGTTCAATAATTATTAATGTATTATTTCTTTTTTTATTAGTGAGAATAAGCCAGAGATTCCTTCTAAAGTTTGTTTCGTGACATATAAAGAGAGAGAGAGTGTGGAGACAGCCCTTCATCTCAGCAATACTGTATTCATTGATAGAGCACTGGTCGTAGCTCAATCGAGATTCGGTAATTAATTATAATTATGTGGGCGTTAACATTAATTAATTATGAGTGGGTGTGGCATTAATTAATTAATGTAATTTTTTTTGCTTAGAAATTATTCCAGAAGAGCCGGTTGCTATGTCGTTAGCAGCACCAGCTGTAGCAGTAGCTTTCATTGATAAGTCACTACTGATAGGTAGTGGTGTTAATTCTGGTCCTCTGTTACCCACTCCACAGACCAGTCTACTGGGAACACCACAAATGGTATTTATTGAGTTCATTAATAGTGATTTATGATTCTCCTTTGATACGTATACATGTTTTTATGTTGTGTAGAAAGTTTGAGCTGATTCCGATTAAAATTAGATTTTATACAAATTTTTAAAGTTGCTCAAAATTTGGTTTAAGCCCCTGTACT